TACGGGGGCAACACTGAGGGTTGCGATCCGTTGCTGGACACGGAAAAAGACAAAAGACCAAAAAAAAAAAAGATTCACTTGAAGATGTATGAGAAGGACTATTTTCCTCCCGGAGTCTAGGACTGATGAAAGAAATAGAGGATCTTCTTAGATTGAAGAAACCATGAATTATGAAGAGTCTGCATAGGGTTTGGAGAAACAATGTAAAATTTTTTCTTTTCTCCTGGATAGCTCCTGTATTTTAGGATTTCATTTTACCTAGCCTTCCCTAGTATAGTATGTGTCTTGGGAAGAAAGTGGGACACAGTGCAGAAATATTTTACTATTTAGGAAAGGCAGTTCCTTAGTCCACTTGGCAGGTCTGACAATGAAACTGTCTGGGATTTTCTGATGAATTGAACACAGTGTGGAAGAATGTGACTGAAAGCTTTTTATTTATAGCTATTGGCATAATTCAGTTTTTTTTCCCTCTTGCCAAGCTGGTAATAGCAATGGAAGAGCTGAAGCAGTGTCGACTACAACAGAGAAATATTTCTGCTACTGTTGATAAATTAATGCTGTGTCTTCCAGGTGAGGAACTGGAAATGGAATAGCCTTCTTGATGCAATTCCTTTAGCTTTAATTAGTCTTTCATGTTCTCTAACTAATACTTGTGTGCTCTTTTCTCTCTTTCAAGTCTTAGAGATGTACAGCAAACTGAGGGATCAGATGAAAACTAAAAGGTAAGATTTTTTTACTGAATGGTTCTTATTATCTAAAATTTCTGTTATTTAGAATACTTTTAGGGTCCATATTTAGCATAACTTTTCAAATAATGATTAGGTCTATAGAATCTTCTCTAGCCTATTGTATACCTATCGATTCATCCTAGGTTTACTTACATATGCTAGTGGTACTGATGTGTTCTGTCATGTATTACGTTTAATAAAAAATACTACTCATAGTTTGATTTCTAAAAGACGTAGTCTTTTAGGTGAAAGCATTAACTGTTTTAGTGATAGTTGGTTTGAGAAACATGCTTTGGTTTAGTATTGTTATAAAAAATAGTCACTGGTTCTGCAGGAGTATATTAGTCAGGTTCTCCAGAAAAACAGAACCAATAGTGTGTGTGTATATGTCTATCTGTCTGTCTGTCTGTCTGTCTATCTTTCTAAGTGTTTATTGTAAGGAATAGGCTCACACAACTGTGGAGGCTATCAAGTCCAAAATCTGCAGGGTAGGCTGTCAAGCTAGAGTCCCAGAGAAGAGATAATGTTATAGCTTGAGTCCAAAGGCAGTCTGCTGGCAGAATTCCCTCTTCCTTGGGTGAGGTCAGTTTTTTTTCTATTAAGGCCTTCATCTGTGTTTGGATGAGGCCCACCCACGTTACGGAGGGTAGTCTTTACTCATAGTTCACTGATGTAACTATTAATCTCATCTAAAAAAAAATCTTCAGAGGCCGGCCCGGTGGCGCACTGCTATAGTGCGCCGCTTGGGAAGCGTGGCGGCACTCCCGCCGAGGGTTCGGATCCCACATGCGGACCAGTTCCCGCTCACTGGCTGAGCGAGGCGCGGGGGCGACACCGAGGGTTGCGATCCTGATGCCGGTCCCGGTCCGGTGCGGGGGCGACACTGAGGGTTGCGATCCGTTGCCGGACACGGAAAAAGACAAAAAAAAAAAATCTTCACAGAAACATCTACAATAATGTTTGACCAAGTGTCTGAATATCATGATGTAGCCAAGTGTATTAGTCTGTTTCCATTGCTTATAACAAAATACATGGAACTGGGTAGTTTATAAAGAAAATGAAATTTATTGCTTACAGTTTCTGAGGCTGAGAAGTCCAAAGTCCTGGGAACACTGCTGGTGAAGGCCTTGGTGGTGGTGAGAGTGATGGCAGGGTATCACATTGCAAAATGGTGGAACGGAGAGAACAGAGAGAGACAGATTTTCCTCTCCTTTTAAAGAACCACACCCCTAACCACCATTTTTAATCCATTCATGAGTGCATGGTGCTACAAACCAATCACCTCTTCAAGGCTTCACCTTTCAGTTACCATAACAGGATTTCCCACCCTGTTAACAGTTACATTGTGGACTAAGTTTCTAATGCCTAAAACTTGGGGGACACAGTTCAAGCTTCAGTGACCTTTGGGGAGACATAATTCAATCCACTACACCAAGGTAACACATAAAATTAACCATCACAAAGGGCAAGGTCAGGGTTAAATTCAGAGGATTCCTCTTCTGTATGTTGTTTTCTTCTAGTTTTATTACAGAGGAAATTTCACAGTGATTTTTTTGGCTCTTCCCAAACTAGAGTAAGCATCTGCATCCTCTCTGCCCTGGTCTACCCTGCAGAAGCTATAGGATGAACAGGATACATCTTCCTGGAATGTTATTTTTACCTAGGTTTTCAGGGAAAAACTGTGTAATTAAAACATAATTAACATTGAAATAAGAATAGAAATATTGTGATTAAAATTCTAAATTTTCAAGAATTTTGAAACTAAAGCTTGAAGCATCAGAATTTTTTGAGTTTCTAAGGATTGTTTCCCAGACTTCCTTCTTCCCTAGGAGGACATGCTCACATAAGAGAACATCGGTAAAATACTATGAGAAGTTCTGTTTAATGATATATGAAAGTGGTATTATTTCCCAAATAACTTTTTAGTAAAGTTTTAAAATTACAGAGAATTAAAAAAACCACTTGTGCAACAACTTCCCTGAATTAATATATATTAAAATTTTTTCAGTTTTGATTTTTTTATTTAAAGGTAAATATATGCAGCGTACATATAAAAAATTATGTACAGAGATATATATATATATACATTTTTAAAAATTATAAATTAAATTTATGTCCCCTTCCTTTGTCCTATTCCTTTCCCTACTCCCTTGAGGAGATCAGTGTCATAACTTCTGTGAGTGTCTTTCTAGTCCATGTTTTTAATATCTATAAATCATATATTATTTTGTTTTGTGTTTAAAAACATTTATGTAGGTGGTTCTCAGTCCTCATTTTTTTTTTTTTTTTGTCTTTTGTCTTTTTTCTGTGTCCGGCAACGGATCGCAACCCTCAGTGTTGCCCCCGTACTGGACCGGGGACCGGCAACGGTATTGCAAACCTCCGCGCTGCTCCCACGCCC